GGGGACACGTGTCACAAGTGTCATGAGTATCCCAGGGCTCAGCCACACGTGTCACAAGTGTCACAGGGCTCAGAGGGACAGGGACAAGTGTCACAAGCACCTCAGGTCCCCCACCCCGCTCCCACCTCGCCCCTTTCCCACCATCCCGGTGACACAGGGACAGTCCCGGGCGCTGCCCCCGGGAAGGGCGCTCACCTGTCGGGATTCCCGGGCCGCCTCCATCCGCGGAGCTGCTCCAGGGCGGGGTCTCCCAGCTGGACGCGCAGCGGGAGCAGCGGGGCCCACACGGAGAAGGCGAGCTCCGCGTGCAGCCGCCGCGCCCAGAAATCCACGCGGGCCCCTCGCGCCCCCCGGCTCTCCCGGCCCCCCACGAACACGGCGTCGCAGGAATCCGACACCTGGAAGAGCACGGGGGATGGACGGGGATCTGGCGGGCCAGGCGGGGCGGGATGGGGCAGGAATGCCGGGAGGGAGCTCACCTGCAGCACCTGCTTGTCGGCCGACTCGCATCCCACGGGATCGGCCAGCTCGGACACGCCGCCTCCCGCCTCCACAGCCACCAGTTTCACCGGGATGACCCGCGGGATTCCCGTCAGCGGGGCCGTGTTCAGGATCTCCAGCTCCTGGCGGGACAGAGGGGATGAGCCGGCGCTCCCATGGGACGAGGGGGGATGGAGGGAACGGCGCCCACCTGGACCAGCGGGACGAGGGCGCGGATTTCCCGCTCCGCCACCTGGATCTCCCACACCCGTTTGTCCTTCTGGGATTCGGGATCCTGGCCGGGATACTCCACCTGCCAGGTGAGGGGCCGTGCCGGGCCCCCCGTCCCGTTCTCCACCACCAGCTCCAGGTGCAGGAACACGGCCGAGTCAGACACCCTGTGGATCCACGCCAGGATTGGGATCACCGGGACCCAGGTGGGATGGACTGGGATGGGGCGGGGCAAGGGATGGGGGCTCTGGGACCCCACTGGGACACGCTGGGATGGGGCAGTGCCACACACGGTGCCAGCCCCTACCTCCCGCTGCTGGGGGTGTCCCCGATCCGCCGGCACGTCACCACGGCCAGGGAGTGCTTGGGACCCCGGGAATGCTCCAGGTGGGCGCTCCAGGCGCTGGGAAGGGCGGGATGGGCGGCCACCACCTGCAGCCCCTTCTTGGCCTTGATCCTGGGGAGGATCCCATGTCACAGCGTCACACAGTGTCACACAGTGTCACACAGCATCACACAGTGTCACAGCGTCACACAGTGTCACCTGCTGTCACTCACAGTGTCACACAATGTCACACACTGTCATACAGTGTCACACAGTGTCATGTGCTGTCACACACGGTGTCACACAATGTCACACACTGTCATACAATGTCACACAGTGTCACGTGCTGTCACACACGGTGTCACACAATGTCACACACTGTCACACACTGTCACACAGTGTCATGTGCTGTCACACACACACTGTCATGCACAGTCACGGTGTCACAGTGTCACACGTTGTCACACACTGTCACACAGTCACAGCGTCGCTGTCACACAGTCACAGTGTCACACACAGTATCACACACAGCGTCACACTGTCCCAGTGTCAGTGTCACAGTGTCCCACGCTGTCACAGTGTCACACACAGTGTCACACACAGTGCCCCACACCATCACACAGTGCCCCACAGTGTCCCCCACTGTCACAGTGTCCCACACAGTGTCACACACTGTCAGTGTCACACACAGTGTCATACACAGTGTCACACACCATCACACAGTGTCCCACAGTGTCCCACACAGTGCCCCACAGTGTCCCACACTGTTACAGTGTCCCACAGTGTCCCACACAGTGTCCCACACAGTGTCCCACAGTGTCCCACAGTATCCCACACTGTCACAGTGTCCCACACAGTGTCACACACCATCACAGTGTCCCACACAGTGTCCCACACAGTATCCCACACAGTGTCCCAC